TCTAGAGATATAGATAGATCTATATCTAGAGATATAGATAGATCTATCTATCTAGAGATATAGATAGATCTATCTAGAGATATAGATAGATCTATCTATCTAGAGATATAGATAGATAGATAGATAGATAGATAGATAGATATATAAATATATATATAAAACTTCAAAACCATGTGGCCTATCCTCACAAAATCTGTAACATATGTTCACATTGTGTCCTGTAACATGCCCTCACATTTTTATTCCATACAACCACTAGGGGGCGATGCAGTAATACTCCCATTTCTTTGCATTTTGCATCGTTTTCAGGCATTGTACTTTAACGAACTCACAGAATTTCTACGATCATCTTCAAATTTGGTCAAGATGATCTAAAGACATTAATGATGAAAAGTTACTAAAATGGTCTACTGACATTGAACGACCTTCGTTTTATGTGGCGCCTATGTCACGCACATTTCGTGCCGTTCGCCATGAAAGAGGAAGTTGTTGTAACTCCAAGGTACTTTATTCAATCTTCCCCAAACTTGTTCTGCATGATGCTGGTCCAGGCCTGAGCACATTTCTATGCCAACATTTTCACAAATTCATAGCGCCACCTACTGGCAAAAGGAAATGACAAGTTTTATACTTTGATGTACTCCGACTAAGAAGTTGCCCAGATCAGTCTCAAATTTGGTAAGCTAAGCCGTAAGACATTGATGATGCTTCATCATGAATATTGGGAGTTGTTGTTAAACGCTGTGTTGCTGTTAAACGCCACGAAAAATGAAGCTTATTTTTCTGTGGCTTAGGATGCTCAACAAGCCTTGGAACTTTGCACAGGTGTCATAGGTGATGTAAATAAATATTTCATATGGCTTTTTGGCTTGACCCTTTCAAATTGCCTCAATAGCACCCCCTACAAATATTCAAAAACACAGCACCAGCGCTATGTTTGACCTACATGTATAAAATTTGGTAGGCACATGTATCACATGAAGATTTACAAAAAAGTCTCTTGACCATGCTCTAAAGTTAACCGGAAGTCAGCCATTTTGATTTTTGTGTGAATTTTCCCTTGATTTCTAGTCGCTATACTTTAACGAACTCCTAGGGACTTTGTCAGAGCCACTTCAAATTTGGTCAGTATAATCTAAAGACCTTTGCTATTAAAAGTTATTCAAAGCTTTACGTTTGATGGAATGGTGTAGCCGTGACGTGGCGGCCATTTTACGTGATTCGCCGTTAAACAACAAGCTGATGTAACTCCACTGGACTTGCTCAAATCTGCCCCAAACTTACCATACTTGATAACAGTCATGGCCTGAGGATGTCTACAAGCCAATTTTCACTCATAGTCATAGCGCCACCTACTGGCAACAGGAAAACGGCGTTATGTGACAAACGGCATCGGATTTACCGTATTTTCCGCACTATAAGGCGCACTTAAAAGCCTTTAATTTTCTCAAAAACGACAGTGCGCCTTGTAATCCGGAGCGCCTTATATATGGATCAATTGGTTAATTGGTTGATCTATACTGGTTGTACACGGCGCTCTGTCAAAATGTTTCAGTACGACTGGTAAACTACAAAGCCGCACCGCTTGCAGCATTACGGCTACCGTAGTCAGGGGCGTCGCCGAAGTAATAGCGGTAAACACCGGTACTGTGCTTACTCCTAGTCCAACACCACTTCTGTGTATAAAGACCCCAAAATGGCACCTTTCAAGAGACACGCTTACGACGCTGAGTTCAAACTCAAGGCTGTCAGCTACGCAGCCGAACATGGGAATAGAGCAGTGGATGACAGAAGGCGAACACACGTTCACCAAGACGGGGAGACAGCGCCGAGCGACTTATGCCACTATTTGCCAATGGATCGTGGATGCCTGGGCTGATATATCAGTCTCAACTGTGGTCCGAGCTTTCACGAAGGCAGGAATAATCACTGAACTGCCAGGTAATAGCAGCGACACTGACTCGGATAATGACGAGAGGGAGCCGGGCATGTTGGATGACGTACTCGCCCAACTGTTCAATTCGGACACTGAAGAAGAAAAATTCGAGGGATTCGTGGACGGGGGAATGAACTGAAAAAGTGAGCTTTACGTGTTATATACGTACCATAACTTAACAATGTTGAGTTATGCACCAACTTTTGATTTAGCGGTATCAGATTGTGTTTCTTTTACGTGTTTACTGAATCAGGGAAAAGTTCCCCTCTACGTTTAAGTTACCGTATTGTGAATGAAATCAAAAATCAATAAAGTTTGACTGAATGATTTATCCGACTGTTTTGTTGACATTCCCTTCAGCACAGCTCCATCTAGTGGATGCATAACGCAACCCCTGTCAAACATTTGACTGTAGTAGCTTCTATTCTATGCGCCTTATAATCCGGTGCGCCCTATATATAAAAACAGTTCTAAAATAGGCCATTCATTGAAGGTGCGCCTTATAATCCAGTGCGCCTTATAGTGCGGAAAATACGGTACATGATGTGGTCTGCACTTGATGTAGAGCAACATAATGCATGTTTGCGCATGTTGTCTAGCGCCACATAGTGGATACAGTAAGTGGTGTAATATTTGCACTACATAATTTCCAGCGTCACACAGTCCACGCTGGAAAAATACGTTCAACTCCGGGACGCGTTGTCCGATGGTCAAAGACATTCACCGCCGCGTCTGCCAGCGTTCCGCCAGTACCCCCGAGACGCGGGAAGGTGCGAGGGCCCGTACATCGCTGCTTGCAGCTTTAATTTCTAATTCATGTTTTTAAACGACCTGCACATTTATTTGATAATTGAACATTTCTTTGTTCCTTTGTTTCTTGTAATGACAGCCTTGGTCCTCCATAGTAAACGATTACATGTATAAACACATGCTTATTATTTATTATTATTAAGTTTTATTATTTAGTTTTCTATAACTTTATGAAACTAAAGACGTGAACACTTAAAGAGATGAGCAGCATCCTGTGTTATGTTTTATTATTGTTAACAGTGGTGACGTAGTGTATCTAATATCTGTTAATAGACTCACAGCAGCCGATCTCATCAGAGTTGTCCGTACAGTCCATGTTGTGGTCACACTTCTTGTGCTTCCCGATGCACTGACCATTGGAGCAGGTGAACTGGTCCGGAGGACAGCGTACTGGGAGACAAACAGGAAGACAAACACTGGTCACGTCCTCCGTTAATGTCTCAGCTCTCATGATGCTGTGTTCTATTCTCCGCTTCCCGTCTCTTATTTATTGAGTCAAAGTCGATCGTGAAGATAAACTCATGTTTATCTTCAATGTTTGAACCCCAAAACCAGCTGGCAGGATTGAAACACATTTTCTTTAAACAATCACCAAAACTTCACCGTTTATCAGTCATTATTGTGAGATTTTCATTTTTCCGACGGTCCTTGAACATATCATGTGCAACGACCGCTTTCGTGATAAAAAGCAGCCAAAACTGAGCTTTAAATGTGATATTTCATCTAAAACATTTTATTGTAAATGTCTCATTTAAAATCTCAACCCTAATAAAGAGTTCACTTTAAACATTAAAGTGTGAAACTATGACATCATGATTGATTCATCTGAGACCAACAGTCATGTGACCACAAGGAGGAGACACTCTGACTGAACTACAGGAAGTGAACACAGAGAGGAGAGGAGAGAAGAGGAGAGGAGAGAGGGGAGAGGAGAGAGGGGAGAAGAGAGAGGGGAGAGGGGAGAGGATGTTAAAATATAAATAGTTTAATATTCATAGCACGTAGAGCCTACATTTTATTTTTCAACATTGGTAAAACTTGTAGACACTTACAAACATGTTGAATATTTAGATTACATTGTTTTCCAATTTTTGTAAAATAAATTTGCTCTCTACTTCTAGTCATGCTGGTTGTGTTTCTATAGAGGAGCAGAACTATTACAGTGATTATATATATATAAATGTTTGTGTGGAGGGTTGTGGACCCGTCTCACCTTCACACTTGTTCTCATCAGACCGGTCCTGACAGTTCACCTCCCCGTTGCAGCGGAGGCTCAGGTCGATACACTGCCGGCTGTCACACTGGAACTCTGACTCGGAGCAGACGGGACAGTCCTCCTCATCGCTGCTGTCGTCACACTCGGGGAAACCGTCGCACCTCCAGGCCTGAGGGATGCAGTCAACCTCTCCGGAGGTGCAGGAGAACTGCTCCGGGGAGCAGGTGGGGGGCTCTGAGAGACGGAGACATAAGACGCGTCAGATCGAGCCCGGTTCAAAACCAGTAAGAGGACCGTTGAGTTTGTCTCTCACCTCCACAGGACAGCTCGTCCTGCAGCAGCACCAGGTGGACGGGACACGAGCAGCGAGTCGTCCCGTCTCCCTTCACGATGCAGATGTGGGAGCAGCCGCCATTGTCCCACGTACACGGGTGTTTACCTGGACAGGTGAGACAGAGGACAGATAAGAGGTCAAACACAGAGCCTGAGGACAGACTGAGGTCTCCTAATGTCTCAACGTCTCCAATGTCCCTAAGGTTCCTAACATCTCTAGGATTCAGACTCACTGTACTCCCTCATGTCCAGCTCGTGGACAGCGTGGATGTCACTGAGGTAGGCGATGCGGGCCTGGATCTTGGTGCGTCCCTCCCTCGTGGTCTTGTCGATGCGTTCGATCATCTGCTGCTGCTTGTCGATCCAGTACAGGTGGTTCCCGAACACCGTCAGGCCCACCGGCTGCAGGATGTTGGAGTCTGCGATCACGATCCGATTGGCTCCTGAATGTTTATTCATTTAAAAAGCGCCGGGAGGAAAAAAACAAAACAAGGTTGTAGGGCCAAAAGGTTCAGGATCAGAGGCAACAAAACGGGTGAGAAACTGAGGGGGGAGGCAGGAGGACAGTGATGCAACAGTCGACACAATCAGACAGAGATCACTCATGGTTCAGACGTTTAAACAAACATATGAACAACACATTATATACAGTGGGTACGGAAATTATTCAGACCCCTTTAAATTTTTCACTCTTTGTTTCATTGCAGCCATTTGCTAAAATCAAAAAAGTCCATTTTATTTCTCATCAATGTACACTCAGCACCCCATCTTGACATAAAAAAACAGAAATGTAGAAATCTTTGAGCTGGAGCTCAGAAAATCTCAGGAATGTGCTGAGATCAGACAAACTTCTACTCTACAGACACAAGACAAAGTGTCCTCAGTCTAGTCTGTCCTGCTACTCACAGGGTTAAAACACACACAGAGACAGACAGAGACACAGAGATGCCACTCTCATGACTGTATGCTAAATATGAAGCTACAGGCTCTTAGCTTAGCATTATTACTGGGAACAGGTGGAAGCAGCTAATTCAGTATAAAAATATTAAGTTACTTTTTATAGGTATTTCTGGCCAAGAAATAATCCGGCATTCTCCCAAACTACAAATGATTATGATATTATGATATGATGATATAAACATGTTGGTCAGCTTCAGAGGAGCTGATCGGTAGATGTTATCTTTATGCTAAGCGAAGCTTGATGGTTCAACGTACAGACAGAGCGGGGGGACCCCCCCCACCACCTGGTAGACCCTGATGTGGATCTTAGTGACCCTCCCCACCACCTGGGGTAGACCCTGATGTGGATCTGAACCCTCCAGACTCACCAGAGAGGTCGCTGCTCTCGATGCGTCTCAGGTCCGAGTCGACCCAGAACAGCTTCCCCGCCTCGTTGTCGATGGCCAGAGCGACGGGTTTCCCCAAACCGCTGAAGAACAGAACCTCTCGCTCCGTTCCGTCCAGCGCCGCCCGCTCGATCTTCGGAGAACGTTCCAGCAGGTTGGTGAAGTACATGTACCTGCAGCACAGAACCACGAGTCATGTGCTTGTTTCTGGAGAGTTTTACTCTCAGAACATCTGCACAATTCATTTCTTCAAAACTCTAGAATCACGTTTGTGTCCTGAACAGAAACCTCATGAAGTCCATCACTGACCCACTGGCCCTCTCTCGGGGACATTGTTTCGAGGACACCGACCCTCTCTCGGGGACATTGTTTCGAGGACACCGACCCTCTCTCGGGGACATTGTTTAGAGGACACCGACCCTCTCTCGGGGACATTGTTTAGAGGACACCGACCCTCTCTCCGGGACATTGTTTTGTGGACACTGACCCTCTCTCCGGGTTGACCACGATGGCTCTGGGTTTGTCCGTCTCTCCTCTCAGAACCACCCCGACTCTGCTGCCGTCGGTCCGGGTGACGTTGATGACGTTGGTGACCTCGCTGGTCCAGTAGATGAAGCGGCTGTAGATGTCGATGCTCAGGTCGTAGAGCTGCAGACCCTGACTGGGTCCCCCCAGGGAGCTGGAGACCACCGTCATACTCTGATGGGACCAGACCAGAGTCACAAACAGGTTTAAAATATTGAACCACTTCAACAGGGATCTGGTCTGTGATGTACCTGGTTCCCGTCCTCCTGAGCCCGGCGGACCACATTCTGCTTGGAGTCGATCCAGTACAGCTGCTTGTCCAGCGGGTCGTAGTCGATGGCTCTGACGTTCCTCAGGCTGTGGATCGGCAAGATGATATCCGGACTCTGCTGCTCGTCCATCACCATGCGGTTGATGGCTGTCTTCTGGCTGAACAACAGGAAGGAGGTCGGAGCTGGAAGACAAAGAAGAACCGGGTCAGACCTGCAGGGTTCTGATGAAGAGCAAGATGTTCTCCACGTATTTAACCGGCCGCCTCACCGCTGCACGTCTTGTTGTCATAGTTGAGGGAGAAGTGGGCGGGGCATCCGCAGACGAAGCTGCTGACGGGCACGGCGAGGCAGAGGTGGGAGCAGTGTCCATTGGTGGAGGCGCAGGCGTTCCAGCCGGCCTGTCTGGACGAGTGGAACACCAGGATGTCCATGACGTAGTCCAGGTGGCCCTGGATCACCGTGCGGTTCTGGCCGCTGGTCTTGTTGGCCCGCTCGATGCTGCGCTGGCTCCAGTCGGTCCAGTAGATGTAGTCCTGGTACTGGGTGAGGCCGAAAGGATGAGGGAGGTCGTCTGCTATCACCTCTCGGTCCTGACCTGAGGACAGGAGTTGTAATATGGTAATATGGTGAAACATATTCATCATCAAAAATAAAACGGTTCCTTTACGAACTAAATCTGGAGTAAAGTTCAGCCAAAGTACAAAACAAACACGTGGATATTCTCTGAAATTATTAAGTCAAACAAAACTGTGGTTCCGACCAAAGGGAATTTTAAGGATATTGAAATCGTAAATTTACGAGAAAAAAAACTTGAAATTCTCATTCTTACGAGAAAATTACCTACAAATTTAAAAGAGATAAACTTTGATATTCTTGATATTTTAGTCAAAAATCTAATCTAATCTCACATCAAAGTAGTACATTTACGGGAAAATATGTTTAAATTCACGAGTAAAAACCTACAAATTCACAGGAAAGAACCTTTAATATTCTCTGAGATTTAAGTCAAAATGTACGAGACAACAACTTTACATTTTGGCCTATAAGTTTTGAACCATAAGTCTCAGATGTTGTGAAACCAATTATGTTCAGAACATCTCTGGAAGAAAAGAGACCATTTCAGACTTTTAATGTTCCATCTTTTCTCTAAACGTTAGTTTATCTAAATCAGACGCCACATCTGGTGAACATGTGGAGATGAAGACTGAGAGACCAACATGGTGCCGATCGTCTTCATTAACGTTTTAAAACAACGGGTTCCCACCGAGCATGTTGGAGGACTCGATGAGCGTGGTGTCCAGGTCGGTCCAGTAGAGGCGCCGCTCGGCGTAGTCGATGGTGAGTCCGTTGGCTCGGCCCACGTCGGCCACCAGAGTGATCCGGCCCGTCCCGTCCATCGCCGCCCGGTCGATCTTTGGCTTCCCGCCCCACTCGGTCCAGTACATGTACCTGTGGATGGGAAACCAGGTCTTAGTGGTTCTCAGGTGAGTCTCTGGTCTACGACGGTGGGTTAGGGCATTGTGGGTAAAATATAGGGGTGGGAATCACCAGAGATCCCACGATACGATATTATCACGATACTGCGATATTCTGAGTATTGCGATAACATAGGCATATATTGCAATTTATTACTTTTTTCAACTTCAAATTATGTCCCCAAAGGAAAACTGTGTCAACATGTTTTATCTAATAAGATAAAGTTTTCAGTCTGTTCATCTCACTTCAATCATTTTTATTGTAGTAAAATAAGATTGTCAAGCAGACAGACTGACCAACAATGTCATAAATGTTGCATGAACCTGACAAACTGAACTGTTTGTATTACTACATAGTCCAACTTAACTAAATGCAAACGTGTGGACTCAGTATATGAACTACAACTTATATAAGTAGGATATAAGAGTTATATAACTCAGTATAACTTGCGATGCGTGGACGTCAAGGGCAGAGGGACAGTTATGCGCTGCACTCTCCCCATGTTGTGAGGCCAGATGTCTCTATCTTTGTTTTGACCAACTTCCTACCTTTCCTGACCTCACCAGAAAATAACTCAGCACCATCTAGTGGACTGAAAAAGCAATTGATTAGATGTTTCTAGTAGTTTAAAAAGAAAAAAATGTATTATATAGTTTATATACTAAAAGATCGATACTTGGCGTCCGTGTATCGATACAATATCGCCACGCAAAATATCGTGATACTATGCTGTATCGTTTTTTTCCCCCACCCCTAATATCAATAAACTCCATCGTATAGAACACAACCTTCAACTTCTCTCCACTGTTTCTGTGTTTCTGAAGGCGCCAAATGCAACATGGCCGTGTTCAACGCCAACAAACACGCCGGGGAAGATAACTGCTTCCTGTTCCACTGTCAGACGGAGCAGGACTGTCCTTTAATGAAGGCTCAGGACGGCATCAACACCTACGACATCTACAAAGGTGAGTTCAGCCGCTCAGGTACTCTGTTCTCTACCCGCTCAGGTACTCTGTTCTCTACCCGTACTCTGTTCTCTACCCGCTCAGGTACTCTGTTCACTACCCGCTCAGGTACTCTGTTCACTACCCGCTCAGGTACTCTGTTCTCTACCCGTTCAGGTACTCTGTTCTCTACCCGTTCAGGTACTCTGTTCTCTACCCGTTCAGGTACTCTGTTCTCTACCCGTTCAGGTACTCTGTTCTCTACCTGTTCAGGTACTCTGTTCTCTACCCGTTTAGGTACTCTGTTCACTACCTGTTCAGGTACTCTGTTCACTACTAATATGTCCATTATTTTAATAGTTCAGTATTGTATGAAAGATAACAGGTATGTTTCTGCATGGCAGTGGCACTAATAGGCCATCACTCATTTTTCGTTTCCACATTTATGTTTAAAATGAAAACAACAGTTTGAATAGCTTGTATGATGATTATCATGCTGTTGACAGACAATGTTGATATTGGCATTGGTATCAGCTGACAAGGCAAGTTTATAAATGGCAGTGGCACGGCCCCCCTACTCACTGTACCTTGCACATGTACCTCTTAAACACGACGCCCCCGAATTTGGGGGCTTCGTGCTCAAGTGGCGTAGCAAAATCGTCGAAAAAATGTACATATCGAGAGCGAATATTTTGCATGTATACATGTATACACTATCATGTAAGTCAGTTTTTACACACTCCAAACACAATTATACACAACTAATATCATATCTAGAAGACGTACCACAATATCACGTATTTTTCGGCATGACTCTGCGGCCATCCACTCCGTAAAAAGCTGAACAAGGAAAATGCTAACCGCTAACACAGCTAACCGAGAAAGCAAAAAGCACGAGCATTCGACAGAGTCCACAGATATCTTCAGAATTTCTCTCCGTGAAACCATTAGAATCCTACAGCCAACAAGCGCCACAAAACCAAGCCCCATTTGGGGTTCGAGCGACACCGTTTAGCGTGGTAGTGTGTCGTAGAATGCACTTTTCATAAACAAATATAATGAATGCTCCACACATATTATATACGGAATTAACGAAAAAAGTCTGGGCAAAATCATCATACCAGCCATTTCACACACTGCAAACACAATTATACACAAACTAATATCATATCTAGAAGATTTACCACAATATCACGTATTTTTCACCACGAATCGGCGACCTATGCACTCCGTTTGCATCTCCCATCACAACGCTGGCCGCTATCATGGCTGCTGCATACATCAGAAAGCACGAGGATTCGACCACGAGTCCAGTCATATCCTCCACATTCCTCTCCGTGAAACCATTAAAAAGTTACATCCAGAAAGCCAACGAACAACAAACCGCTCCACAGCAAAAAAATGTAAACGCATCGTACCTTGAGGTGATTTTCTTGAAGAAAAACGCTGGGAATTGACGGTAATCCATTTCGGCCGTCTTCTTCCTCTCATCCACTGTGTGTGTGTGAGAAAATGGCGTTTTTGGGTGAAACTACCACAAAATGGTCGGCATTCTAGTGTTCGGCGAATCATTTTACGCATGGGGGTTGCGTGGCACGGATTGGGATAAAAAGTCTGTCAATCTACTCAAGAACCCGCCTACTGCTTTCCTGACATTCATCTGGGTCTAACGAGGTGTCACATGATGAAATCCGCCAATTACAGGCCTTAAAAAGGGCTCCATCGACACAGACAGAGACGAGAAAATTCCATGGAGGAGAGATATGAGAGCTCAAAATGATGCCAAACTGCTGTATTTGGATAGATTGGATACTAGTAGTGATAAAACAAGTGAAATATTTAGTTATATAGTATATAAAAGTACAATGGAACAGGTTCCAAAATGACAAATCTGCTTGACCTCCCGCGACCTCTCTGACACAATAAACTCTATAACTTTTGTTTGCTTCACTTTATCAAAGCCAAATCTTTTTTAGGGACTACTGGCATGTTGTGCTATGATTTGGGAGTGTTTTTAGGCTTTCAGCTGCATTATTTCACAGACATAATTTCAATACAAGTGCTTTTTTTTCAGGCGAACCTGAAAAATTTCAATTTGAGCTGTGTTCCATCTTCATTCACTATTAACCAGTAACATACAGTATGTACAATATTTACACATCTCAACACATCTCACAAGTGTTACCTGTATTATACCATCAAAATTATTAAATAGACCTTGTAGTTAGAGATCTACTCTCTCTTTAGTATGGGTATGCAATTTTCGAGCAGAGGCCTAAAAATAGGGCTCGTGTGGGAATAAAAACATGAATATATGAACCTGTGTATTATTTGAATAGCTTAGTATTGAATGCACAATAAAGAGGTATACACGGTACTAGGCCCATTTAATATAAAACACAATTTTATACACTATATATAGTCGGGGGTCCCTGCTCCATCTCTCTATCAGTTTGGAGGTCCTTGGCCTGAAAAACTTTGAAGACCCCTGCTTTAAAGTATAACAGAGTTTATTAAGTTTTAATAACATTGATCAAAACAAGGCAGATCCTCACCACCACGGCAAAATACAGAGATTGTTTCTCTATCACGCAGAAACCTAACTGGTGAACTTAGATTCGGCCGCGGTTCTGATCTTTGAACTGATAAAACAACAGTTACCAACTTCACTTACAGTGATGATCTAACACAACACTATTACAACAGTAGGTTCTTCACAGCACTAACGGAACTCGGCGGTCCATAAACACACAAGAACACGTTATAACAAAACAATAAACTTAAAACAAAACAAACAAGGTAATAAACACACTATGACCTAAACTCTGCCCAGACACAAGCCTCTTACTGTGAGATGACTTCGTAGCAGTCGATGTGGTTCTTCGAGTTTCTGGGTTAAACTCGGGATCCGGAGCTTCCAGCTGCGCGGAGATAAACTCTCTGTTTGGTAGAGAGTTTATCCTCGGAAATTAAGGGGATTCTTCTTCCTTATGACTGGCAAAATGTGGACGTTAACGGTGAGAGAACGGGGCATAGAAGTTATCCATTCTCTTCTATTCGTCCAGCAGAGTTAAGACTATGACCTAGGGTTTCTTCAAAAGCAACATTGTTTCTGTGCCTCTTTGCATGCGAATCGAATCACGTGGAATGGCTCAGAGTTTTATGGTTTCAGTGACAGGCAGAGGAAGTCCTGTGGAGGCTGTGGCTCTCGTCCAATGAGACCTCAGACCTGGAGCTTTGGTGTTATCTTAAACTCAAATCAGGCTTTTGACTGCTCTGCAGGCCCCTTTGTTCAGAGCACACGGTGAAATCTCAACACTACCTGCTCAGGTATATTTGTGATGTTGAAGTTCAGCTTCCTGATTCTTTGCTTCTTTAACATTTCACTGTGTTTCTTCACAGGTTTGATTCATCCGACCACAGTGAGACCCTTAACCATGACGACCACCACGGAACCAACCACCACCACCTCCACCACACCGGCCACAACTACACCAACAACCACACAACCCACCACAACAACCACCACACAAAGTACAAAAACAACACCACCAACAACCACAACAACCACGGCTCCAACCACCACAACAACAACCACAACAACAACCACCACCACGCAAGCTCCCGCCACCACTACAGCACCTCCATTCATCATCATCATCGCCACAATGCCTCCGGTAACTCCAGCACCCACCACGACCACAACTACAACAGCAGCTTCTACAACTACTTCTACTGCAGCCACCACCACGAAGAAGCCAAACAAAACCACTAAAAAGCAAAACAAAACAGCCAAGAAAGTGAAGCTTCATCCCGTCGGCACCATTACCTTCACCCGGCCGACGCAGTGCTCCACCACATCACTTCCTTTTGTCACGGCCAAGAGGGAGGCTGCACCAAGAACTACTGACAAACCACTGCCCAACACTGAAACTACTACAACTACAACTACCACTACTACCACTACTACTACTCCTGCTCCAACCACTACCACTACTACTACTAGTACTACTACTACTACTCCTGCCACTACTACTACTACTACTAGTACTACTACTACTACTCCTGCCACCACCACCACTACGACTCCTCTTCCTGCTACGACCACCACCACTGATTTGTCCACCACAAAGACGACTCCAGCAGCGAGTCTGGTAATCGTCCCCAAAGGCGCCGTCCAGTCCGACCAGGCCCTCCAGAACTCCAGCGCCGGCCGCGGGAAGTCGGCAACATCGTCGGCAACGCGAGGCACGCTGAAGAGCGGCGTGGTGGCGTTCATGGTGCTCGGGCTCGCCGTGCTCACGCTGGCTCTGGCCGTCGGGGGCCGCAAAGCGATGGAGTCCTTCGACAGACGGCACTACACGAGACTGGAGCTCAACGACCTTCACTACGAGGTGTGACGGAGCTGAAGAATTAAAATGAGTTCTTTTAAGATTGTTAACCACATAAAACAATAAGGGAATGTCTACGTGGCGAATACTCGACCCTGATTGGCCGAAGGGTGTTCGTTGTGTTTCATAACCGCACAGTTTATTTACATCGTTACACTCGTGGTATAACGATGATAATGGAACCTGTGCGTTCATGAGAAATAATGACAAACCGTCAATAAACTTATCTGAAGAATGCATCGTCACAAAGAACATTAATGACTTCATATCAATAAACTGTGTTTTTATTGTCATACAGTCGATTTAAAAAGAAACAGATATTTTATCCTGTTTGGTTATTTTCACAAATAAAAATGCACCAAATGACAAATCAAGAAACATCACGATGAAAACAATTATATAGAATTTAAATATCACCATAACTTTGTGTCTTTTATCACATTTGTCGTCACATCTTTTTTCTCACGTTCACTTTTGAAGACGCGATAAACTGAATATTTGTTTCTCGTTATAACATCAAACGTTTCTTGTTTTCATTCTATTAAGATGTTTTTTCTCAGATTATTCTCGTTATTTATTCAGTCGAAAGATAAGTTATAATAATAAAAGTTTAAAAAACATCACGATATAAAAACGATCTCTCAGTAAAACTAGAAGCGTTTGATGTTTTATTGATGAACTGACTCCTGATCAGCTGATTGATTTCTCTTTGAACACAAAGAACAAACTGCAATATTATTATTCCCTGAATCTCAGGAAGCCAATGAGGAGCCTCCTTCTCTTCTTCCTCCTCTTCATCATGCCTTCCTCCTGCATGTCCTCCTCTGAACTCACTGTGCTGGTTTTGGAAATCGTTTCACACGATGATGAAGATTTAAATTATTGATCTTTTGAACGTTGATGCACTTTTGTGTGTTTTTGATAAATATGATCTTCTGAAGCTTCTTTTTCACTATTTTCCTATGATGATGATGATGATGAAGAGTCGCCTGATGAACACTGACTGCTCTTCTCTTCTGTTGCTCTGATTATTATTATTATTATTATTAACGATGGTGACAGTTCGGTCCTGTTTTGTGAAGTGATGCTTTTGCATAAATTTGGAAATTTGATGTTTTGTTCTTGTAAAGAATAAAGAAATGTGATTTTTGAACGTGTTTAAGTATAGATTATTGATTTACAGTATTTATGATTTCCATCTTTCATACATTTTCTCTTAATCTAATTTTCATATTAATTTTCATTAAATATTTTGACTTTTTTTGTTCAAAATTAAAATGAAAGTTAAACCTAAAAATCTGATTTATTTCCAGTTATTTATAGTTTATATAGTTTATGATTTTCACTAGATTTCGAGTTTCTGGTTTGAAAGTGTCTTTACAGACTTTTCTTAAACTCTACTACCTTTAATTTAAAATACAAAAAGGATGTTTTGTGTTTCATAATTCATCATTCACACAAACCTTTCTCTGAATGTAATTTATAGACACACATATATATATATATATATATATACAGTATATCTATATGTATATAGATATACTGTATGTGTATAGATAGTTTGATCATTTCACTCAGACTTTATTCTGACTCAATCATTTAGAGTAATCTGAAGTCATTTTTCATATATATAACCTTTTGTGTCATTTTCACAACTTTTGTTTCTCAGAATTGAGACTTTCCATCAAAATGATTGTTTTTACTTAATTTGTGGATTTTATCTTCTGACTCTATCATTGGCTGCAAACTGGACAGTCTAGAAGAGGTGGAGAGGAGGACACTGAAGAAACTGTTATTCATATTGGATAACCAGGACCAACCTCTGCACCTTCTGCAGGGACAGACTGCTCCAGATACAGGGGAACATTCTGCAATAAGACTTTAAATAAATCACGTCTGAACAGATCAGTCACACGACTGTGACACGCTACTCTGTTCTTTGTTTGTTGTTTGGTTCAATCTTTGCACTACTGGTTAGTTTAGTTAGTTAACAGTTAATTTAATATTCTATTTAATTGTATATATTGTGCATTTTCATTTTTATATTGCATTTATATTGTTATTTTATTTACCTGTACCATAAATGCTGCTGTAGCGAAAGAATGTCCCATTGGTTCAAAACCTGTATTTATATATTTAAAACCTGTATTTATTCTTTAAAACCTGTATTTATGTTTAAAACCTGTATTCATGTGCTTAAAACCTGTATTTATTGTTTACAACTTGTATTTATGTGTTTAAAACCTGTATTTATATGTTTAAAACCTGTATTTATGTGTTTAAAACCTGTAGTTATATATTTAAAACCTGTATTTATGTGTTTAAAACCTGTATTTATGTTTAAAACCTGTATTTATTGTTTAAAACCTGTATTTATGTTTAAAACCTGTATTTATGTGTTTAAAACCTGTATTTATGTGTTTAAAACCTGTATTTATTTGTTTAAAACCTGTATTTATATATTTAAAACCTGTATTTATGTGTTTAAAACCTGTATTTATATATTTAAAACCTGTATTTATGTGTTTAAAACCTGTATTTATATGTTTAAAACCTGTATTTATTGTTTAAAACCTGTATTTATTTGTTTAAAACCTGTATTTATGTGTTTAAAACCTGTATTTATTGTTTAAAACCTGTATTTATGTGTTTAAACCTGTATTTATATATTTAAAACCTGTATTTATTGTTTAAACCTGTATTGATATGTTTAAACCTGTGTTGATATGTTTAAAACCTGTATTTATGTGTTTAAACCTGTATTTATATRTTTAAAACCTGTATTTATTGTTTAAACCTGTATTGATATGTGTAAACCTGTRTTKATRTGTTTAAAACCTGTATTWATTGTTTAAAACCTGTATTTATATRTTTAAAACCTGTATTTATTGTTTAAAACCTGTATTTATATATTTAAAACCTGTATTTATTGTTTAAAACCTGTATTTATGTGTTTAAAACCTGTATTAATGTTTAAAACCTGTATTTATTGTTTAAAACCTGTATTTATATGTTTAAAACCTGTATTTATGTGTTTAAAACCTGTATTTATTTGTTTAAAACCTGTATTTATATATTTAAAACCTGTATTTATATGTTTAAAACCTGTATTTATGTGTTTAAAACCTGTATTTATGTGTTTAAAACCTGTATTTATATGTTTAAAACCTGTATTTATGTGTTTAAAACCTGTATTCATATGTTTAAAACCTGTATTTATATGTTTAAAACCTGTATTTATATG